GCTTCACTGAAACATTTTTATCTGCATACTGATAAGAGTGATTTAAAAGGCTTCCAAACAAATATTGAAACATTTTCTTATAATTATCTGTCACAATCTGACACCTGTTGATTAGAAACTTTTGAAAAAGACAAAGCACATGTTTTTTGCAAGTGAACTCAAGGTAAATAACTATATCACTGTCAGTGACTTTTTCATCTTCACTGATTTTATGGAAAGAATTGTTCTCTTTCAACAATGATTAATCTTTGAAGAATTACCTCTTTTCAGTTTTAAATGTCAAGGAAAGTCAAATTGTAAGCAAATTCAAATGTATGTTTTGAGGTTGTGAGAGTCTGCTTGTTTGCTTGCTGTAATGGCATCTGTAAAATCGAAAAATAATGAAGTCAAATGACATGCTTTTTCTAACTGGACACCAGGGGGTGTGGTGCCACTTTTAGTCATCGAATTTCTTCGGTTTCTGTTGTGAAATGTACGGCAGAAACATACACATTTCATACGAATGACCTACACTCAAAACATATCAGGAAATGTGTTCAGTCCCATTAAAAAAATTGTACAAAGTTCTCATACGCATGATTGAAAATAACTCAAATGTTAAAAAGCGTCACTTTCTACGATTGAGAACCTTGTGCCACAAACTCAGCTTCTTTGCTAGTGGAGTGAAGTAATTAAACATCCCGCATAACATATATTGTAAATTGTGCATATAACTATCAGAATATCAGAAGAGTCCGACAAGATTTCAGGGTTGCTTCGCAACTAAAAATATCAGGAAGCAAAGATAACATGATTCAATGCGCCCGTCAAGCAGTGTTACAAGTTTATCCCAACCTCTGGTCTAGTACTTGAGATGACTGTCCAACGTGGTCTCCTTTTTAGAGTTTCTAGCCGTTTTACACGTCAAACAGTACATAACATTACCTGGAAGGTACAAGATCTCATAGGTGCCATTTTTGCTGCTACTGTGGTATCAGAATAGCCACTGAGTTCTTTCCATCCTGTAACTCAAAAGGGCCGCCATATTGTGTTTACTTTCTACTGGATCCCAGTATTTTTCATTTGTAACATGCCACACGCGCAAACGCGCGGCAACACGCGTGTAGACCTGTCCTGAGGTCTTGGTTGAAGGCCTATACACCTACCGGTTACAAGGTAGCTTTTATTTTGAGCACCTCCATGGCATCTTCAGTAAATTAATTCTGTCAGCCCTTTTTTCTTGATTTAAGTTCCCGGAAGAGCCAAACCCAGTATAAAAGCACAGAAAAGCACTCCCTTTGTAAATTTTTAAAAAACAACTAAGTTGTCCCACTTGCCCGCACGGTTACGAATTCACTGCATTGTACCGTATTTCTGGATAGATCACAACCCTAACGTTGCCTCTCATTCCAGCTGGAAACTAGTTGCAAACTGAGGAATGAAGTTACTAAACTTTCAGAGAGATTCAGAGGCCAAGCTACTGAAAGCAAGAACTTTCAGCAAAACAAGATATAGCAAGGACTTTTGGAAGCTAAGACTTTTGGAAGGTTGTTGGGAAAATCACACACAGGAGCCCATCACTGATGGGCTCCTGTCACACACAAAAAGACTTAGTAGTATTGATCCACTAAAAGATGCACAAGGTAACATAACTGTTAATGATCAGGCTGAGGTCGAGAACCTTTGTGCCCCATGGAGCTAATGGAAGAGTGGGAGTGGGTGAAAGGAGCAGAGGCCCTGGGAACGAAGTTGTTGAAGAGCTATT